CCATCAATCCCAGGGATAGATGAATAGATGAAGGGCAGAGTTCCGGATCAGACACAGGATGAGATTCTAGCGGAGAGTGAGTCACGCCAGGTGATATGTCATTCCGAGCCGCCTTTCTCCCCCTAGATGGCTGCTCTGTGGAGCGGCTGGGTAAGAAACTGAAGAGACAGACTGAGACTACCGGTGCGCAGCCCTGGCTCCCGGGCGGCACAGCCGGGTCGCACCTCATCTCCCCGCAGTGATCGGGCCTCGGGGAGCCCGCAGCCTTCTACGCCCTCGCGGGCAGATTCTCTCGTGGCCTCCCGCGCCGCGCAGCGGGGACCGGGTGATTGCAAACAGCCGCCGGTCTCATTAGGAGACGTGTAATTAGCTAGCGGCTGGCGGAGCCAGAACGCTAATTACCGCGCGGGGAGGTTGCGCCACCACCGCCTGCCTGCCACACGCCGGCGTCTGCACCCTTGCGGGACCGGACCTGGTGCAGGACTCGGTGGCCGGATTCGGGTCCTCTCCGGCCGGGGGCGCTGTGCCTCCACGGGAGGACCAAGTCATGCGTTCAGAGATGCGTTTATCTTGCACTCGCTGCGGCCGGCGCGTAATCCTGCCTCAACTGCCACCGTGATAATTCCTAATAGGAACTATGTTAACCTATTGCGCAGATGGGGACGCTGTGATCTAGACACGGGAAGCAAGCTCCCCCACAACGCCTGGCTTAGACTGCGGTGGCCTGGAGCCTTAAGGGACCGGAAAACTCAGCACTGCGGGACATCGGCCACGTGGGCCGCAGCAAGGACTCCAGTCGGTATGAGGTCTCCTTTCTGGATACGTGACTGGCCTGGACACCAGCTACACCTGTAAAATGGTTATAGTATTGGGATTTAGGGAATGAAGGCTGGGAAGGGTTAGGAATGTTACTTTTAGGGAGATGGGTACTCGAGGTTGGGTGATGAGCTCTCCTCACTCTGTAGACCTTGGCGCCCCCTACTGGCCAAGAAGGACGCTGATGACAGTGTTTGTGGATAAGGTGAGTCTGGGGCGGCAAGAAAGAGTATTAATTGTTCCCTCGGCAGGGCCACTGCGCTACCCTCTCCCTTCCTTTTCTTCGGAAGGTCAAAGAGACTGGACAGCGGGGAAATTCAGAACTCATTCCAGATCCTGCAAATAATCAGTTTTGAAAGGTGCCTGCCTCCCTTCCTGGGCTGCAAAGGGCCAACCATCTGAGAGTTACAGGAGTCTAGTCATGAACACTTAACTACAAGAATATACATCAAAGTAAGGGTATAGGGGCTGGTGAGATGGCTCAGTGGTCTGAAGCATCTACTTAGAACAAGCTTAGCAAAGCACAAGGACTGCGGTTCAATCCCCCAGCACCACATGCTAGCCAGCCCCGCCCCCTGGTGGGCTGAGCTGGCCCCACACACACACACACACACACACGTAAGGGTATAATAAAACTGGCCAAATAGCTCTGCGGATGAAAGTGACTGCATAGGCAGATGCAGAGGCCGGGAGTTCAATCCCTGGGTCTGCCTTGCCTGCCTGCCCTCAGGGCGTGCTGAGACAGTGCTTGAGACTGGGCATGGAGGGACATGCCTATAATCCCAGCACTTGGAGGCTGTAAACAGGAGGATCACTATGAGTCTCATCTACACAGTGAGACCCTGTACACCCTGTACATACTGTCCTAAATAAATTTTTAAAAAGTAAGGGTTTAACAAGAAAACCTAGAAAGAATTTAGTCTGAAGGCTGGGGGACCAGGGAGATAGCTCAGTAGAACAAGCACCTGCCTCACAAGTGCTGGGTCCTGAGTTCAATCCCTGGTACTGAAAATAAATAAAGTCTAAAGGCTGAGGATATAGCTCAGTGGCAGAAACGCC